CCATTCACTGATCAGTGTTTAAAATAATAATTTTTTCTCAGTGCGAAGAACATTTCAGTGATCTGGATGTTAGCGGTTGTGAATGTCAGCTGATAAACAAGGTTTATTAGTAAGAGTCTCGAGTGTTGCGTCTCATACCTGGCGATACAGCTCTCCCTCGGCTCTCGGCTCAGAGATCTGGTGTTTCCCATCCATACACATGTTGAGCTTATCCACAGAAGAAACACTCGACACCAGCGCTATCAGCAACAGACTGAGAGAGAGAGAGAGAGAGAGAAGGGGGGGGGGGGGGAGAGAGGGGGGGGGAGAGAGAGAGGGGGGGGGGGGAGGGAGAGAAGGGGGGGAGAGAGAGAGGGAGAGAAGGGGGGGGGGGGGGGGGGGGGGGAGAGGGAGAGAAGGGGGGGGGGAGAGAGAGGGAGAGAGGAGACAGAGAGAGAGAGAGAGTGAGAGAGAGAGGGAGAGAAGGGGGGGAGAGAGAGAGGGAGAGAAGGGGGGGAGAGAGAGAGAGAGAGAGGGAGAGAAGGGGGGGAGAGGGAGAGAGAGAGAGAGAGAAGGGGGGGGAGAGGGAGAGAAGGGGGGAAAGAGAGGGAGAGAAGGGGGGGGAGAGAGAGAGGGAGAGAAGGGGGGGGGAGAGGGAGAGAAGGGGGGGGGAGAGGGAGAGAAGGGGGGGGGAGAGAGAGAGGGAGAGAAGGGGGGAGAGAGAGAGGGAGAGAAGGGGGGGGGGGAGAGAGAGAGGGAGAGAGGAGACAGAGAGAGAGAGAGAGAGAGAGAGAGAGAGAGAGAGAGAGAGAGAGAGAGAGAGAGAGAGAGAGAGAGAGAGAGAGGAGACAGACAAATCAGTGAAGATTATTTCAAGGTGACAGAACAGATATTCTGTTCTCATGTCCTTCTGAATGTCACTATATACTCTCCAATACAGGGGTTTCGATTTGCAAGAGACTGATCTAGAGGGAAAAAAATAATATATATATATATATATATATATACAATCAATAAAAAAAAAGTCTAAATATATAAGTAAATAAATAAATTAGATTTAAATAATAAATAAATAAATAAAACATTTAATAAAATATTTTATATATTAAAGAAATATTAGTTAGGAAATGATATATTAACATATTAAATTAGATTAAAATATATTCATTAATAAAAAATATTAAAATAAAATTTGATTAAATTAATAAATACATTTTAAAATGAATATTTAAATATTTTATTAATATAATAAATAATTAGATTATAATTAAATACATAAACGAACAAACAAACATTTAACAGTACACTACTATAGTGAGTGGAAAAATATATAATAATGTAACAATGCAAAACTAATTTTAGATTTACATTATTAATTTTTCAGTGTATAAACTGCATGATTGTAAAAGATAGATTCCTAACCAGCAACTAAAGCTGTTAGTTATATAAATACACTGGAGTCCAAATGTTTATTTTTCCCTTCTTTTTTACTCAAAATACATTTTTGAAAAAAATATGTTTGAAATATTTGAGGTTCTCCATTATTTCTATGTAACTACCCCGAACCCTAATCAAATGTCATTAATACAAAACAAAAAAGAGACGCATCAAATTCTGAGACCTTCTCAAGTTCATCTTCATTTTAACTTTTCATGCATTTGTTTTTAAATTAGCGAACAAGCACAAAAGAAGCATCGTGGCTCTTGGACGCGGATTGATATATAACTGATTAAAGATGGAAAGAAGTAGATCTTGCTTTCATAGAAACATACCTTGAAGATAAAAAGTCCATGTTGTGTAGAGTTAAAGTTGAGAACTGCTCGTTCTTCCTCGCTTCAGCTGAAGTGTGTGAACTGTGTCTCTTTCGATCAAAGTCCTTTAATGACTCCTTGAGGATCACGACTATAGTAATGAGACACAAACCACCAGCGGTATCAGGTGCACGGTCACTGCGACCTTATGGACTCATAACTCATAATAATACATGCACATCTGTCATTTTCAGCACATGATGCACTAGATACTAGAGATGCAGTTAACTATGTACTCAAGGTTTATTGAGTGTTCAGTCAATCTTCAATCACATTTGGTTTGATCTGCTCGAGGGACTCGCGTGATATCACACGACATTCATGCGATTTTAAGTAACTCGTGAATGTTTTTATACGCTTAAATTCAGAGTTATGACAGTGAGCGCTTGTAGTGAGGCGGAACTAAAGATTGCGTTATGGTTTTTCCGAAGGGAGGAACTTCCGGTGCAACACCAGAACTCGCCGTGTGTTTACATTTGAACTTTCTGCGGACCTGCAGGTAAATCAAATATGTATCAAAGGCTCTTATTTTATTTTATTATTTTATTCATCAGCAGCCATGCTATTTACACAAGTGACCGGAATATTGTGTCGTTATTTTTTTAGTGTTTTTGTGAAGAATAAACAAAGCAACCTATACAGAAAGTACTATAATCATGCGATACCGTAATACTGACATTCATATTAACTGATATTTTCACAATACTACCTAATAGTACTTGCGAAGTAATGCCATGCATTTACATAGTTCTTTAATTTCACGTTTTTATGATATACTATGACATTCTTATAAGTTACATTTATTTGAGTACGTACGATGGCATCTCTAGAGAATACCATGGTATACCATGTTTTTCACTTGTACTATGGTAATACCACATGTGAAAAACGAGGTATAGTTTTTTTTTTAGTACTTCATAAAAATATCATAACAACGAGGTATTAATGATTTACATGTGATAAAAGATGGTTCTATTTACAGCGTAATCAAATAACTTTCTAAGAATACTATGGTATTTATAATAATGTAGTATTGCCGTATTATCATAGTACATGTGAAAAAACATGGTAATAAAACATGTTTTTTTTTGTGATTCCATGCATTTACATCGTACTCAAAGAAATGTATAGGAAAACCATGATGTATGATAAAAAATCTGGTATTGTAGTACCATAGTATGATTTTATGATACCAAGATATTATTCATTTCTTTGCTTATGATGTAAATGCATGGCATCACTAATAAATAACATGGTATCACCATGTTTTTTTCCACAAGTACTATGGTAATACCACATGTGAAAAACATAGTAATACCATGGTGTTTTTAGTGATGCCTTGCAATTACGTAGTATTCTGAAATATATTTTGGTATGTGGTTAAACCATGGTATTACCGCAGTCCTTGTTCATTTGTGTGTGTGTTTATGTGTGTGTGTGTGTGTGTGTGTGTCCAGAGATGTCCACCCTCTTCCCGTCTCTGTTCCCGCGTGTGACAGAGTCTCTGTGGTTTAATCTGGACCGTCCGTGTGTGGATGAAGCCGAACTACACCAACAGGAGCAACAGCACCAGACCTGGGTCAGTGTGTGTGTGTGTGTGTGTGAACTGCAGAACGAGTGTGTGTGTGTGTGCTGATGAAGCTGTCTGTCTTCAGTTGCAGAACATCTCAGAGAAAGACAACAACCTGATGCCCATCGGGAGGCCCATCTTTGAGGTGCGTGTGAGAACACATGATGTTCAGATTCCTGAGAATATCATATAATATAATATCTAACATGTTCTTTACATTCTTGCCAGACCTTCGACGAGGAAGAGGAGGAGGATGATGAAGACGAGGAGGACAGCGAGGAAGACTCAGAGGATGATGAAGACATGCAGGACATGGACGACATGAACATCTACAACGAGTTTCCTGATGATGGAGAAATTAATGAGGTCAAGAGATACACACACACACAATCAAATGTGTTTCTTCTAAGAGCAAAACAACTACACTGTAAAAAAAAATATTTACATGATTTGTTATCACAACTTTATTTCTTTGTCAAATCAACTTAGGTTCAGATAACATAATATTTGGATTTTCAGTTGATTAAACCAATCTCCTTCATTCTATTAACTCAAAATATTTATTTCAATGAACTCAAAACTTAAGGCAACTTACTTTAAATTAAACCAACAATAATTTTTACAGTGTAGTGAATATAATGATTAATTCTGGTTCGTGTGATAAAGGTTACAGCAATAATGTCAAATAATTATAGATTTGAAAATATTTATGGCATTTAAACACCTAATATATAGTGCCATTATTATATTTATATATTATATAACATATGTTTATAACATTATATATTTATATGTTTTTCATATTGAATGTCTGAAATTAATATGTAAAGGGATGTTTTTAGGGTGAGACACTACTTGTGTTTTTCATGCACTGCTCAGTCTTCATCTCTATTTTACTTCTATAATGTGAATAGTGGAAAGAAAACACAGAAAATACACATTTAAGAGTTTATTTTATTGCATCTGTAGATTTCAGTCTCAATACATATCTTTAAAAATGAGTTTTGTCCTCCACTTCAGCAGCACTTATATACACCAAAACTTACAGTTTTATTAATATCTATATTCTGAAGGATTTTACTGAGGGGTTTGTTCATAACATCATTCACCTTATTTTTATAAAATTTTATTTTTAAAGACATTGTAAATCAGTTTTTTCCTGGCTGTTGATGACATTTTCTGATTTATGCAGTAATAAAAAGACATATCAAGAATCCCCTCAGTAAAAACCTTTAACTCCAATATGAAAACAAAATCAAACAAGAATTTTTAATCTGGCTTTATCCAATGTTCAGATTAATTCTCTGGAAATGTATGCAAATCCATGCATATTTAATTACAAAACGCCTCATTTGCATATATAAACATTTCAGAATACTTGTAATACAAAACAATGATCTTAATGTGGTTAGTCAACTGGGGAAGTAGTTTAATATTTACCCTATTCACCTCTAGGGTCTTGCCTTAAAGGAGTAGTTCACTTTAAAATGAAAATTAGCCCATGATTTACTCACCCTCAAGCCATCCTAGGTGTGTATGACTGTCTTCTTTCAGACGAACACAATCTGAGTTATATTAGAAAACACCCCGACGCTTCCGAGCTTTATAATGGCAGTGGATCGCAACCAACAGATTGAAGCTCAAAAAAGTGCATCTGTCCATCATAAAAGTGCATCTGTCCATCATAAAAGTGCATCTGTCCATCATAAAAGTGCATATCCATCACAAAAGTGCTCCACACGCTCTGGGGGGTTAATAAAGGCCTTCTGAACCAAAACAAGGGTAAGTTTGTGTAAGAAAAATATTAAAATTAAAACTTTATAAAGTAAAATCTGTTGGTTGCAATCCACTGCCATTATAAAGCTTGTTAGAGCCAGGATATTTTCTAATATAACTCTGATTGTGTTCGTCTGAAAGAAGAAAGTCATACACACCTAGGATTACTTGAGGGTCAGTAAATCATGGGCTAATTTAAATTTTTAAAGTGAACTACTCCTTTAAATCTGCTGTTGACCTGACAAACATTGATTCTAGTAAAGTTCAGTTTTGAAGAGATCTGAGTTTTGATTTTAGGTGAATGACGTGAGTGTCGCTCACTGATAGGTCGACATGGAAGGAGCCGATCAAGACCAGGACCAGTGGATGATCTAGACCAGATCCATCAATCAGACGATAGACTGGAGTGTCGAGAAGTGTCCGTGTGCTGCTTAAATGCTCAAATGACTTATTTATACGTGTCACACACAAGACCGTCAGCTCAAGTGTTCAGTGCTACTAAAGAACCGCTTCACTGCAAAAATGCTTTTCTTACTTACTATTTTTGTCTCGATTCCAGTCCAAAATATAAAAAAATTCTTAAATCGAGATGCATTTACTAGATGAGAAAAATACTATAAGATATTATGTCCTGTTTTCTGGGGAATTAATCAAAATTAAGTGAGCTGATGCTTAAAAAAAAGCTAAATGATCTGCCAATGGGGAAAGAAAGATAAGTGCTAATTCAAACAGAAACTAGATTATTTTTCTGACCCCATTAGCAGATCATTTTGCTTGTTTTAAGCATCAACTCACTTAATTTTGATTAATTTCCCCAGAAAACAAGACTTAATATCTTATGTCATTTTACTACTTTAGTATGCATCTTGATTTTAGAGAATTTTTAGACATTTGGACTGGAAAAAAGACAAAAATACTAAGTAAGAAAAGCATTTTTTGCAGTGTTCGTATTTCTCATAAAACTAGCACTTGAACTTGAACACAACATGAACTTTTGTCACTTTTCAGGCTTGTAGAAAGTGTTCAGCGACTCATTGGTCAATCTCTAAGTTATTGAGTTACTGGGCATTTCTGCATGTCATCCAGACGGGTGTCAGGATTCAGGAGTTCATGCGTCATCGCATTTACAGCTCAGAAACACTGACGACTGTTTGTATCATATTTCTTTGTGATTGTAAATAAATTTGTAGTCAATTATTCATCTTGTACATATGGTCGATTTGTTAACTTCCCATCCCGTTTTAATAGAAGCATCGGTAACACTTTACAATAAGGTTCATTAGTTAACATGAACTAAGAATGAACAATACTACAGCATTTATTAACCTTAGTTCATATTAATTTCAACATTTACTAATATATTATTAAAAATCAAAGGTTGTATTTTGTTAACATTAGTTAATGCACTGTGAACTAACATGAACAAACAATGAACAGCTGGATTATTATTAACAAAGATGAATAAATACTGTAACATGTATTGCTCATTGTTATTCATGTTAGTTAATACATTATCTAATGTTAACTAATGAACCTTACTGTAACGTGTTACCGCATTTTTAAATCATTCGAGACGTGAAGGGTCGAATTCTGTCATCATTTATTCACTGTCATGTTCCCCCAAACCTGTGTGATCTCTGCTCTCACATCTCATTTGCATTTGTGTAATGTAAATATAATGCACAAAGACATGTCACACACACACACAATGGTTTAGGATACCAGTGCCTTTTACTTTCATGATATGGAAATATTAGCCATAGAGGTTTAGAAGGACACGAGAATATGTTTTATGATGTGCTGATGATCACACCAGCTTTATGGCTTAATGCGCTTATTAAATCACAAAGGCTTAAAAAAATATACATGCTGCATAATTCATCACTGTGTTCTTTTACAAAGAGAGTTTTCCACCAAAATAAAGTTTGAAAATAGAATTAAGAATTTTAGTATTGTAATTTTACATTAGATTATTTCTCTCAAATACTTTTATTTTACAGTGAAATATTGCAACCATAATATTCCTTTGTTTAATATTTATTTAATAATAATGAATTATAATTATTTTTATTTAAAATTATTATTATTATATATGTAATGTATTCTATAATAATGTAAAATATATGATTATTTTATAGACATTGATATATAATCCAAAAGGTTTAAATGGTCAAATGATACATAAATTATTAAATAGAGTAATACAATGATTAAAGTGAGTAGTGACAGTGACGGATCATTTCTTCCATATTGTGACATATTTCAGAGCGTAAGGGCTTGTTTAAAAAGGTGAAATCTAGGGCGGGGCTTGATAGTGTGCATAAGTTATTGATTGGATGTTGAGATGTGGGCGTGGCCAAAAGCGTGCAGGGGCGGAGCTTAAGAGCACTAAATGATTGGTTAATCCTGCATACGTCACCAGAGCTTCACTGGAAGATCCAGTTCTGACATTTTGACTAAAACATTACAAGGTAAAAACCTTTTTATAAAAAGAAACGTGCATGGATGAATTGCTAACAATAAGATCAATAATACACATTTAGAAAATAAGAGTGAATTTCATTCCATGCTATATATGCATGAATGAAGAGTAGTTAGGGACTCACGGCGCCTTAAAATTAGTCCATTTGAGGTGCGTAGATAAAAAAAAAAACATATTAGAGGCACTTCAAGAGAGTCCACACTCCACCAAACACAAGAGACGTCAAAAAGCGAGATAAAATCAAATGATTTTACTGAAAAAAGTGGCAAACGTTTCGGTCACATGTGACCTTTCTCAATGCCAAGCTTACAATGCTAAGTGCAGGAGCCATCGATCACATGATGATCAACCAAGCCAAGACCAATAAAGGATCCAAACACAGTGTTGGACAGCATACTACAAGACTAAAAAATTAAATAACAAATAAACAAAGATTTTTTTTTTTTTTTTAAAGGTAAAACAATTAAATAATATTAAATAAATGTAAAGTTCACATGCTGGTAAAGTTCACAAGTGACTGAATGAAACCTTTGACTGTAAAGGTCTATAATCTCCTCACACACGTTCCATACGGTGAGAAACACGGTCATGTTTTACTTAGTCCCGAGGAAGGTCAGATCAGTCACGCATGTATTTATCAACAAAATAAATAAATGAAGAAAAAATAAGAATAAGAATAATTAAATGTAAAAATAAGAATTAAAAAAAATGTAAAAAAAAAATTTAAATGGGGGAAAAAAATTAAAATAAAATAAATAATAATAATAATAATAATTAAATATAAAAAAGTAAAAATAAATAAATGAATGAATAAATAAATGTAAAGTTCACTAGTGACTAAATGAAACCTTTGACTGCAAGGGTCCATAATCTCCTCACACACGTTCCACACGGTGAGAAACACAATGTTGTCATGTTATGTTGTTAATGTTGAATGTTTTACTTGGTCCCGAGGAAGGTGAGCTCCGCCATGCCGTCCCGGATGCCCCGGATGTGAAAAAACAAAACAAATAATAATAATAATAACATAAATAAATTTAAAGTTCACATGATGTTAAAGTTCACAAGTGACTGAATGAAACCCTTGACTGTTCATAATCTCCTCACACACGTCCCACACGGTGAGAAACACGATGTTGTCATGTTTTGTTGTTAATGTTGAAAGCTTTACTTGATCCCGAGGAAGGTGAGCTCCGCCATGCCGTCCCGGATGCCCCGGATGTACTCGAGCGTGGCGCGGTGAACTCTGACCTCATACAGGCCGCAGCGCCGCGCGTGCCGGAGGAAGTTTGGCGCTCCGGGGAAGATGACGTTATCCGCTAGGATGATGGAGCCCTCTCCCAGAAGCCCACTGTCCTCCAGCAGGTGCAGGTCCGGCAGATAACAGCGCTTCCAGTGATCCATGAACACAAAGTCCAGGCGCTCCACGCCGAAATCCTCACGCAAGCGCGGGATCACCTCATCCGACGGGCGCACGATCAGCTCCACCTGAGAAAACATGTTGCGCTGTTTGTCACTTTTCCAGCTGTGTTCTAAACCTGGTTTCACAAATTTTCAAAACAAGCTGACTTTATTCTGAACGAATGCCATATTTCATCTGATGTGTATTTTAATTTATATATATAGAGTGTGTATGTATATTTATATATACACACACACTGGGCAAAATTATAACGCAACACTTGTTTTTGCCCCCATTTTTCATGAGCTGAACTCAAAGATCTAAGGCTTTTTCTATGTGCACAAAAGGCCTATTTCTCTCAAATATAGTTCACAAATCTGTCTAAATCTGTGTTCGTGTGCACTTCTCCTTTGCCGAGATCATCCATCCCCCTCACAGGTGTGGCGTATCAAGATGCTGATTAGACAGCATAATTATTGCACAGGTGTGCCTTAGGCTGGCATAATAAAAGGCCACTCTAAAATGTGCAGTTTTAGAGGGTCCCGAAAACCAGTCAGTATCTGCGTCGAGTCTGAGGAGGCGGGGAAACAACAATCTCTGATATTTTGAATTTGGACTGCAGTACCCATTTCGACCACTAGCTGTCATTCTTACAGACTGCACCTTTAAGAAAGAGAAATGAATGCAGAAAACTCACCATGTCTTCGTCAAAACCCGCCAGTCGAATGATTTTCTCGGCCACGGCAGCGTTTCGCTCGTCCATCTCGACGGAGTAGATGCGAGCGCCGATGGGCAGCGAGCGGGCGATGCGAACGGTGCTGTAACCGCAGTGAGTGCCCAGTTCCAGAACAGTGATCGGGCAGTGTTCCTGCAACAGTCGGTCCAGGATCTTACCTGCACAAACAGCCAATCGGAACACAGCAAGTGAGCGTGACAGCCAATCAAGAACACAGCAAGTGAGCGTGACAGCCAATCAGAACACAGCAAGTGAGCGTGACAGCCAATCAGAACACAGCAAGTGAGAGTGACAGCCAATCAGAACACAGCAAGTGAGCGTGACAGCCAATCAAGAACACATCAAGTGAGCGTGACAGCCAATCAGAACACAGCAAGTGAGCTTGACAGCCAATCAGAACACAGCAAGTGAGCATGACAGCCAATCAGAACACATCTGAAGTTTATCATCAAAAATACAGACACAAACACAAAGATCTCATCGCATTGCTCGTTAGAACACGATGTAATACTAATAATCACATGATGACATCACACGTGTTTTTATGTTTTTTTGTAACTTTCCGCCAGTTCATGTAACATATGTAACAAGGACACTGTAAAATAAAGTGTTACCTAAAAATGTTACCGGCAAAGTGGCGATTGACATTGTTTCATATACTCGGCAACGTCGAGTGTTAATTTTAGGCCCTGTGTGTGTGTGTGTGTGTGTGTACCTTTCTTGGGCCCGATGTTGCTGATGAACTCCACTTTGCTGCACCACTGGTCAAAGGTGTCCAGGATGCTCTGGGAGTCTCCCGGCGTGGCGTGGGTCAGTATGTACTGAAAGGCCCGTTCCTCTCGGCTGAGGCCCGATAAACAGTCGCGCACCCAGCGGATCAGTACGGCCCGGTACAGCAGCACGAAGAAATAACGGTAACGGATGATCAGCGTGAGTAACAGAGGAAGTAAAGCCAAAGCGATCGCAGGAGAAACCATCTTCACCTCTGACCTGCAAACACAAAGACAGGCTTTAACGTCACTGAAACATAGTGGAAGATCAGAGACACCTCTCAGAACACCCTAGCAACCGCATAGCAACACACAAACACTCAGAACACCCTAGCAACCGCATAGCAACACACAGAACACCCTAGCAACCGCACAGCAACACACAAACACACAGAACACCCTAGCAACCGCATAGCAACTCACAAACACTCAGAACACCCTGGCAAACGTATAGCAACACACAAACACACAGAACACCCTAGCAACCGCATAGCAACACACAAACACTCAGAACACCCTAGCAACCGCATAGCAACACACAAACACTCAGAACACCCTAGCAACCTCATAGCAACACACAAACACACAGAACACCCTAGCAACCGCATAGCAACACACAAACACTCAGAACACCCTAGCAACCGCATAGCAACACACAAACACTCAGAACACCCTAGCAACCTCATAGCAACAAACAAACACACAGAACACCCTAGCAACCGCATAGCAACACACAAACACACAGAACACTCTAGCAACAGCGTAGCAACACACTAAAACGCTCAGAACACCCTAGCATTGGCGTAGCAACACACTCAGAACACCCTAGCAACCACATAGCAACACGCTAAAATACTCAGAACTCACTAGCAATAGCATAGCAACCTAACACTCATAAAACCCAAGCAAACGCATAGCAACACGCTAAAACACTCAGAACACACTAGCAATGGCATTGCAACACACTAACATTCAGAAAACCTTAGCAACCGCATAGCAACACACAAACACCCAGAACACCATAACAAACGCATAGCAACACATTAACACTCAGAACACCCTATCAACCACATAGCAACACACACACATTCAGAACTCCCTAGCAACTGCATAGCAACACATGACCACATAGCAACACACAACCACTCAGAACACCCTAGCAACTGCATAGCAACACACACACACACACTTAGAACACTCAGGCAACCGCATAGCAACACACAAACACCCAGAACACCGTACCAACAGCATAGCAACACACAACACTCATAACACCCTAGCAACTACATAGCAACACACTAAAACATTCAGAAAACCCTAACAACCATATAGCAACACACTAAAACACTCAGAACACCCTTACAACTGCATAGCATAGCAAGCAACACAAACACCGAGAACACCCTAGCAAAACATGCAGGACACCATAACAACCGCATAGCAACACACTAAAAACATGCAGTACAGCTGAATAGAAAGACTAAAAACACCAGAAGACCCTAGCAACCACAGAAACATGCTAAAACATTCAGACTGCATAGCAACACATTAAACACACCTTAGGAACCACATAGCAACACACTGAAAACACCCAGAACAATCTGGAAAACATAACACACTAAGAATGTTCAGAACACTAAAAACACTCAGACCACCATAGCAACTGCATAGAAACACACTATAAAACACTCAGACCACCGTAGCAACTGCATAGCAACACACTAAAACATGCAGAACAGCTTAGCAACACTCTAAAAACACTCAGACCACCACAGCAACTGCATAGAAACACACTAAACACTCAGACCACCATAGCAACCGCATAGCAACACACTAAAACAATGCAGAACAGGTTAGCAACCATATAACATCACATCAAAAAGCCCAGAAACCACATAGCAACACACTAAGAACACTCAGAACATCTTAGCAACCACAGGTTTGAGCACATCACTATCAGCACTACTAGACTACAGTGAGAACTAAACTCCAACTACTCTACACAGCAAACACTTCACAGCCAGCCTATGAAAACTCTGCATTAATAATTCAAACGCCTTTGTTTCGACGTGACAGAACATGTTGACTTTCCAGAAGACACAAGCTGATTCCAGATCAGTTTCAGTCAGACCAACACAGACACTCATTCACCAACACACAAAATAAAACATCATATCTGATGATAACTTTACCAGATCCGGGACTCTCTCGACCCGCAAAACACACACTCTGAAGACAGAAAGAAGAGACACTCGTGTGAGTACCACAGGTGTGCAGCAGCCAATCAGATTCCTCCGTCTGAATAATGGATGGAGCGCCTCCACTTACACCTGCGTCTCACCTGAGCGTCACGTGACCTGAGCATGACATCACAGCAGAAATGACACATTTCTGAAGGAATAGTGGAGCAGAAAGAAAACCACCAATATGTACAACAAAATGTTCAATATTCTTTAATTGCACATAAAAAATTGTCAGTACAAAGTCAGTATGAAAGCATAAAAATCAAAAGATGGCAGAAGGAATGGCATTAGAATAATACACAAGGCATATACTCAGTAATATGGCTTATAAAATAATAATAAAAAGAAGACTTTTGCTTTAATTTGGTTGGATTCAGGTATTAATATTATTATTTCTCAAATTTTATTGATTGTTTTTGTTATGTTGTCATTATTTGAATTGTTTGCTTATTATTTTTACTTATATATATATATTGTTTGAAAAACAAGTTGGTTAATTTTTTTGATAATGCCTGTTAAACTGTTCTTGTCGTGTAGAGGATTAAAATATATAAAAAAATAGTGTTGTCAAATCAATTAATCATGATTAATTGCATCTAACATAACACAGTTTATAAATATATATATGTGCGTATGTGTATACATGGATGGATCAAAAAAGTTCATCAAAGTTGTCCTAAGACAAGAACGGTATTGTTCGAAATTCAAGTACTTTGATGAAAGGTTTTGATCCACTTAAAATTTTGACAACTGTATATATATATATATATATGCGATTAATCGATTTGACAGCACGAATAAAAAGAAATATAGGAAAAAAGTATCAAAATAAGTAATTGAATTTACAATGATTTACATTTCCCCTTATAAAAACCGCTCATTTTGAAGATGCAGTTTCATGCCGTTCTTCACTCCAGAACTCTGTTTTATCTTATCCGCTCATTAATGTCTGTCCAGGGGTCGTGACCTCAGCAGGCTCGTCTCAGCATCATCCGGATGAACTTCTTCAGCTCTTTCTCTTCACGGGACCATTTGAGGAGTCGTGAGACGAGCATGCGTCCGCTGGTCATGTGGGCCAGGGCGATGTATGAGCCGGTGAGCGGCCCGTCCAGCGCGGGACAGGAGCAGTCGCGACCCCCCGGCAGCCAGAGGGCGCTCTGGTCCCCCGCCGCCACCTGATGATCCTGCCAGCGCAGGACACGACTGCGACCCTGAGGAACCACACGCACATCTGACCCGTCCCGAGACCAGGAGCCGATCCGCAGGCGGAACGCTGGAGAGGAGAGGGAGAACCAACAGGAATTACAGTTTTGGTGTGGAATAAAGTCCTAGTTTAAAGGGATAGGTCACCCAAAAATGAAAAAATTAGCCCATGATTTACTGACCCTCAAGCCATCCTAGGTGTGTATGACTTTCTTCTTTCAGACGAATATACTCATTATATTAGTTATATTAAAACATGTCCTGGCTCTTCCAAGCTTTATAATGGCTGTATACTTTTTGAAGTCCATAAAAGTGCATCTATCCATCATAAAAGTGCATCTATCCATCATAAAAGTGCATCTGTCCATCATAAAAGTGCATCTATCCATCATAAAAGTGCATCTATCCATCATAAAAGTGCATCTATCCATCATAAAAGTGCATCTGTCCATCATAAAAGTGCATCTGTCCATCATAAAAGTGCATCTATCCATCATAAAAGTGCATCTGTCCATCATAAAAGTGCATCTATTCATGATAAAAGTGCATCTGTCCATCATAAAAGTGCATCTGTCCATCATAAAAGTGCATCTGTCCATCATAAAAGTGCATCTATCCATCATAAAAGTGCATCTGTCCATCATAAAAGTGCATCTATTCATGATAAAAGTGCATCTGTCCATCATAAAAGTGCATCTGTCCATCATAAAAGTGCATCTGTCCATCATAAAAGTGCATCTATCCATCATAAAAGTGCATCTGTCCATCATAAAAGTGCATCTGTCCATCATAAAAGTGCATCTGTCCATCATAAAAGTGCATCTATCCATCATAAAAGTGCATCTGTCCATCATAAAAGTGCATCTATCCATCATAAAAGTGCATCTGTCCATCATAAAAGTGCATCTGTCCATCATAAAAGTGCATCTGTCCATCATAAAAGTGCATCTGTCCATCATAAAAGTGCATCTGTCCATCATAAAAGTGCATCTGTCCATCATAAAAGTGCATCTATTCATCATAAAAGTGCATCTGTCCATCATAAAAGTGCATCTGTCCATCATAAAAGTGCATCTGTCCATCATAAAAGTGCATCTATCCATCATAAAAGTGCATCTGTCCATCATAAAAGTGCATCTGTCCATCATAAAAGTGCATCTGTCCATCATAAAAGTGCATCTGTCCATCATAAAAGTGCATCTATTCATCATAAAAGTGCATCTGTCCATCATAAAAGTGCATCTATCCATCCTAAAAGTGCATCTGTCCATCATAAAAGTGCATCTGTCCATCATAAAAGTGCATCTATCCATCATAAAAGTGCATCTATCCATCATAAAAGTGCATCTATCCATCATAAAAGTGCATCTGTCCATCATAAATGTGCATCTGTCCATCATAAAAGCGCATCTATCCATCATAAAAGTGCATCTATCCATCATAAAAGTGCATCTATCCATCATAAAAGTGCATCTATCCATCATAAAAGTGCATCTCTCCATCATAAAAGTGCATCTATCCATCATAAAAGTGCATCTGTCCATCATAAAAGTGCATCTGTCCATCATAAAAGTGCATCTGTCCATCATAAAAGTGCATCTATCCATCATAAAAGTGCATCTATCCATCATAAAAGTGCATCTGTCCATCATAAAAGCGCATCTATCCATCATAAAAGTGCATCTATCCATCATAAAAGTGCATCTGTCCATCATAAATGTGCATATGTCCATCATAAAAGTGCATCTGTCCATCAAGCGCATCTATCCATCATAAAAGTGCATCTATCCATCATAAAAGTGCATCTGTCCATCATAAAATGTGCATCTGTCCATCATAAAAGTGCATCTGTCCATCATAAAAAGTGCATCTGTCCATCATAAATGTGCATCTGTCCATCATAAAAGCGCATCTGTCCATCATAAAAGTGCATCTGTCCATCATAAAAGCGCATCTGTCCATCATAAAAGTGCATCTGTCCATCATAAAAGCGCATCTGTCCATCATAAAAGCGCATCTGTCCATCATAAAAGCGCATCTGTCCATCATAAAAGTGCATCTGTCCATCATAAAAGCGCATCTGTCCATCATAAAAGCGCATCTGTCCATCATAAAAGAGCATCTGTCCATCATAAAAGTGCATCTATCCATCATAAAAGTGCATCTGTCCATCATAAAAGCGCATCTGTCCATCATAAAAGCGCATCTATCCATCATAAAAGTGCATCCGTCCATCATAAAAGTGCATCCGTCCATCATAAAAGTGCATCTGTCCATCATAAAAGAGCATCTGTCCATCATAAAAGCGCATCTGTCCATCATAAAAGTGCATCTGTCCATCATAAAAGCGCATCTGTCCATCATAAAAGTGCATCTGTCCATCATAAAAGCGCATCTGTCCATCATAAAAGTGCATCTGTCCATCATAAAAGCGCATCTATCCATCATAAAAGTGCATCTGTCCATCATAAAAGTGCATCCGTCCATCATAAAAGTGCATCTGTCCATCATAAAAGTGCATCTGTCCATCATAAAAGTGCATCTGTCCATCATAAAAGTGCATCTATCCATCATAAAAGTGCATCTATCCATCATAAAAGTGCATCTGTCCATCATAAAAGTGCATCTGTCCATCATAAAAGTGCATCTATCCATCATAAAAGTGCATCTATCCATCATAAAAGTGCATCTGTCCATCATAAAAGTGCATTTATCCATCATAAAAGTGCATCTGTCCATCATAAAAGTGCATCTGTCCATCATAAAAGTGCATCTGTCCATCATAAAAGTGCATCTATCCATCATAAAAGTGCATCTATCCATCATAAAAGTGCATCTGTCCATCATAAAAGTGCATCTATCCATCATAAAAGTGCATCTGTCCATCATAAAAGTGCATCTGTCCATCATAAAAGTGCATTTACCCATCATAAAAGTATATCTGTCTATCATAAAAGTGGATCTGTCCATCATAAAAGTGCATCTGTCCATCATAAAAGTGCATCTATCCATCATAAAAGTGCATCTATCCATCATAAAAGTGCATCTATCCATCATAAAAGTGCATCTATCCATCATAAAAGTGCATCCATCCATCATAAAAGTGGATCTGTCCATCATAAAAGTGCATCTGTCCATCATAAAAGTGCATCTATCCATCATAAAAGTGCATCTATCCATCATAAAAGTGGATCTGTCCATCATAAAAGTGGATCTGTCCATCATAAAAGTGCATCTGTCCATCATAAAAGTGCATTTATCCATCATAAAAGTGCATCTATCCATCATAAAAGTGCATCTATCCATCATAAAAGTGCATCTATCCATCATAAAAGTGCATCTGTCCATCATAAAAGTGCATTTATCCATCATAAAAGTGCATCTGTCCATCATAAAAGTGCATCTATCCATCATAAAAGTGCATCTATCCATCATAAAAGTGCATCTATCCATCATAAAAGTGCATCTGTCCATCATAAAAGTGCATTTATCCATCATAAAAGTGCATCTGTCCATCATAAAAGTGCATCTATCCATCATAAAAGTGCATCTATCCATCATAAAAGTGGATCTGTCCATCATAAAAGTGGATCTGTCCATCATAAAAGTGCATCTGTCCATCATAAAAGTGCATCTATCCATCATAAAAGTGGATCTGTCCATCATAAAAGTGGATCTGTCCATCATAAAAGTGCATCTATCCATCATAAAAGTGCATCTATCCATCATAAAAGTGCATCTGTCCATCATAAAAGTGGATCTATCCATCATAAATGTGCATCTGTCCATCATAAAAGTGCATCTGTCCATCATAACTTTATCGAATAAAATAACTAGCTTCCGGCAGACATATTTGGGTGAATTATCCCTTTAACTTCTGGAACAAGAACAAATGTGGGCGGGGCTTGAGTTTGTCTGTGGGGAATTGATTGGATGGTTGTGGTTTGCTATTGGCTGATCTCATGTGAGTGACAGGTTAAAGCCCCGCCCTCACACCACAGAAACATATAGCCATGTTTTCATGTTCATGTTGAACGTTTCGAGTCGTTCCATCATGACGGGTTCTTCTGGATGGGTTATAACTGGTCTACGGTTACTCACCGAACGGACTCTTGCAGAAGTTCTGCTGGATCTCTCGCTCTCCTGAGTCTGGACTGCAAACCTCACAGACCACAGAACCTGACGAGAGAGAAGAGACAGACTCAGTTCAATTCACATTTATTAGTATAGCGCTTTTCACAATACACATCATTTAAAAAGCGGCTTTAAGAGTCCACATTACAATTTACAGTGATCTGTTATCACAGGTAACTGTTTAAGTTATGTATTTCAGAAATGTACATTATACAAAATCACAGTTAGCTTAAAATGTAATAATTTAAGGCAGAAAAATGAGCTTGTTGAAGTAATGAATACTTGTTTAGCGGCCTCTAGTGGTGATGTTTCAGATTGCAACAAGAGCGCTCGTGTGCGTGCGCGATCTCAGGAGCGAGCATTCACTACCGGCCACACGGAGACTTTCAACACACCGGAGAAAGCATCACACAACATGCTGGAAACTCATGTAAACTCCCACTGCAACATTACAATAATAGGCTACTTTTATCAGCTTGACGTTGAACTAATGCTCCATGCTCGTACCATGATAACGTTACATTTGTGGTGTTATCTAGCATAATGCATTTCACTAACTATTCGTGTATCTTTCACAATCAGCAATGTCAACATAGGTGAATGTATAATATGATAACGAAAACGGTTAGTGACTAGACTGAACAATGTCAGTGTAACAGTAAGATCGTAGGAAGTAACATTACTGTACTGAACGTGTCTGGAAATGTGTATTATAAACAATATGATAATGGGATGAATTACGTTATAGCGTAACGATCCATAACGTAGATCTAGTACATAAAACAAGTATCCTAAAGCACCTTTTCTTATCCTGGAACAGTCTTTTGTATTCATTCCATGTCTCATGTAGTTTACCTTGCTATTTCATTTGAGTTTACTAATAATTCAAAAGCTCTGCCGATGTTGATCCGTGTTTTCGTCCTAAGTCGATCCGATTGACGTTTGGCCTGACGAGCTTCAGCAGATAAAACTTTGTTTTGTTTTGTATATTTATGTGGAGTTTGTGTTGGAGTGTGTGTTGTGCTGGAGGCAGGTCGTGTTTGGGTGTTATCAGACTCCATGTCGTCAGCTGCAGTGCCGTCGCATAGACTGTATATAAGGAGAGAGGCTCGGGAGCGCGCGTGCACGTCACATCCGTTGGATTTCGCGGTAAATCCGACCCGGAGACTTCACATAGAAATAGGAATACTGGCCTTCAGAGGTAATAGCAAAACCCGACAAGTGGATCATTGTAATGTGTGATTACAACCCCTTCACACACAGGCAATAAAAGGATTCATTTTAGAAGAAAAGTTACATATAGCACCTTTAACAAATGATTATAACATTTAGAAAACTGTAGCGTTGGTGCATGTTGACAGATGTGGTATCAGTGGGCGGGGCATCTCGTTCTCCAGGACACGTGATTGGACAGAGATTTGCATAAACCCCTGAGTGCAGGATGAGTCATCAATATTGTTTATTTTTTTAGGAAGACACTAACATGTTTAAAATCTGATCCCAACTTATTATGATGCCATCAAATACTTTAAAAAAAGTTTTGTTTTGGACCAATATTTTAACCCTCTGGGGTCCTTCGGCCCAAATGGACCCGAAGCATTTAAATATATATATTTTTTAAATCATAGCTTTATCGGAATGGTCCGAAATTTGGTGACTTTGTTGGTACTTGGCATTTGAACACCTAAAAAAATTGGGGACAGGATTTAAATAGTCTAAGTGGTTGTAAAAAAAAAAAGTCACACTCAGGACCTTCGGGTCCAAATGGACCCGCATAGAAAATGAATGGGAAATTGGCAAAAATGTGAAAATACAGAGTTATTTTGTGCGTACAATCTACAAATCAGCCACGATCCAGAAAAAAAGCACACAACAGTGAAGGGGTGAATCTATAAAACATCAAGAGTGCAAAACAGACACATCCACACACACACACACACACACAAACACACTTTTATACACATACACACTAATAAATTCAGATTACATATGGGTTTTGAATTTTTAAAATGCTCAGTTTGTCCACCAGATGGCATCCATCTCATTTCAAAAATTGCTTTCATGAGGCCTAGGCTTGACTCTAAAATGAAATACAGCTTTAAAAAAAAAAAAAAAAAAAAAAAATGTTATTTCTATTACAGTTTTTGCCCGTTGCTTGAACACTATAGACACATGCTTAAACCAAAGTAACATAACTTGAAGTTGTTGTTACTATACCTTAAACAAAGTGTAACCATACCTTAAACAAAAGCGCTGCTTTGCACTTTAGTTGCAATTCTGCAACACACTTGCTCCTAGACACTACACACTATTTCATACATAAGACACTTAGTTCAAAAATGAAATCTCAGGGTACCATTGGGAAAACACATCTATTCAAAATACAACACACATTGGTTAATTTAAAAGACATAGACACACACCTGAAAACACTTACTTACAAAAATGAACACCAACCAGCCAGCTACAAAAAGGCCTCAGTTGCAGTTAACTTTGCAAGCATGGAGGCAGGGAGAGCTAGAGGAAGAGGAAGAGGAAGAGGAAGAGGAAGAGGAGGACAGAGAGAGAGAGAGAGAGAGAGAGGAGGACAGAGAGAGAGAGGAGGAGGAAGTGGTCAAAGAGGCCACGCAAGAACCATTATTTCGGATGACATAAGAGCAACTTTGGTGGACCATGTCATAAACCATGGCCTGACAATGAGGGAAGCTGGGCAGAGAGTCCATCCTAATCTAAGCCGCTTCACAGTTTCATCCATAATAAGGACATTCCGCCTGGAAAACAGGTATGTCTTCAACTCTCTACTCTACTCAGACTGTATCTAGAGCATTTACAGTACTGTACCATATCACGTTACTGTATCACATGTATTGTATTCCAGGGTGGCTAAAGCTCCTTTTTCAACAAAAGTGGTAGTTTTGTGAAACATACCATGATAACATGTTGAGATGTTTCAGTACTGTATATGGTAAATACAGTAAAGTTCAGTATACACAGTACTGTAAAAAAGAAGCAAACGAGAACAATTTGTGGTTGCATTTTTCTACAGAATGGCTAGAAGACCTGCTGGGGGAGGACGCCAACGCCTGTTCACCCAACAGCAGGAACTTGCCATAGTGAACCTAGTCAGAGCAAACAATGCAATCCGTCTCCACCAGCTACAGCAACAAATACTTGCAGATAGGCAAGTATTCAACAACATAAATCGAGTAAGCATTACAACTATCAGACGGATCTTGGTAAAGCACAACATGACCATGAAGCAACTGTACAGGGTCCCATTTGAGAGGAACAGTGTCAGGGTCAAAGAACTTCGACATGAATATGTACAGGTAAGTGTTTCAGTCCTTTACATTTACAATAAAGAATGGGTGCACAGTAACAGATGAATATGTACCACTGGATTATTACCACATAGATTCATTCAGAAAGCTACACCGGTATCTGTGTGGTGGGGTGGGTCGGTTCGATTCTGTATATGTAGTAGTGTAAGTGTGTGCTTTGAGTAAAGCCATCCACAACATGTATTTTTTGTTACAGAGAATCTTGGACATGGATGGAGCTGCCCAGCCGCATGAATGTATTTACATTGACGAGGCTGGATTCAACCTTAGCAAAAACAGACGACGGGGACGTAATATAATTGGCCAAAGGGCAATTTTGCACGTCCCGGGGCAGCGCGGGGGAAATATCACATTGTGTGCTGCCATAAGTCTTCGAGGGCTACTGCACCATCATGCCAAACTGGGTCCCTATAATGCGCAACACATAATCACATGTCTAGATGCACTTCATGATGCAGTTGTACAGGATGGACCAGAGCAGCCCAGGTTTGTTGTTGTCTGGGATAATGTTAGTTTCCATCGGGCTGCTCTGGTCCAGAACTGGTTCACCAACCATGATCAATTTGAAGTTCTGTACTTGCCCCCTTACTCGCCATTTTTAAATCCTATAGAGGAATTTTTTTCCGCTTGGAGATGGCGCGTATATGACCGCCAACCACATGCCCGTATGCCTCTTCTGCAGGCGATGGAACAGGCCTGCGGAGACATTGAGGTGAGGTCAATCCAGGGATGGATTCGGCACACAAGGGGATATTTTCCCCGATGCTTAGCAAGAGAAGACATTGCTTGTGATGTTGATGAGATCCTGTGGCCAGACCCCAACAGACGGCAGGATCCATAAGCCCACCTGCGCACAATTGTGTTTTTCTGTGTTTACAGTACTGTATTGTTTGTTTTATTTTTGATTTAACTGAATTTACTGTACTGTAAAATATACTAATGTAATGATTTTGAATTCATTATTTTATTTTTTGGTAGTTGTGAAAACATGCCCTCTATGGAACTGAATAAAAACATTGAAAACAAAAGACTGTAGTTTTTTATATAAAGTAGACTAGTGTGTTGCTGCTGATCTGAAAGTGTATTCATATGATGCAAGTGGGTATCATTTTGTCATCAGAGTGACATTTTGACAAAGGATTGTTAGGTTTTGATAGTAGAGTTTAAATTTGACATAGATGTGAATGGTTTATTTCCCAGTGTTGTGTCTTATTTGCTTGTGTGTAGAGTTTTGACACAATGAGCCAAATTTAGCAAAACGTGTGTAAGCAATAGGCAAAAACTGTATATTCAATGGGGAAAAAATGGGTCATAATTATAAATCATTTTTATTTTTGAAATTATCTCAAAACACCAAAAAAGAAAAGAAAAAATATTATAAAAAACAAGTAAAAAAAAAAAGATAATTTTTTTTAAATAAATATTAATCCCACCCTTCCGGCCCATTTGGACCCGAAGGTCCTGAGTGTGACTCTGAAATGAAGGACCCCAGAGGGTTAACTAAGCTAAAGTTTGTAAACAAACTTTGATGTTGTTTGGGACTCGAACTTGTGCACAGCTGCGGGAAATGTATTATTATTATTATTATATTCCCACAGTGACAGCCGCTCACTTTCATCCGTTACTTCATTTCTAACAGATTTCTGCTCATTCTAACCCGGATAAATTAGCACAGTTAGAGTACATTATATATAATAATGTTCTCCACAAATACGAAGGAGCAAAAAAAAGTAACGTTTTATTTTTTAAATAATTTAGTTGGACGTTCCTCTAAAGTTTTTTAAATGTAACTGCTTATTTCAGAACGTTCAGAGAACTCAAAAGCAGAGATGGGCAGTGTTTTAATTACTTGTATTTGAAATAATTACTTTTGAGTATTTTGTCATTTGTATTTTCCTTAACAAAGAAAAATGAAATGTAATTTGTAATTAAATACTTTTAGAGACTGTAATTTATATATAAAATACTTCAAATACTTATTTAAATATATCATTTTATGTAGCATATATTATCTTTCATCACCTGGCTTAATAGGACCATAGACATATAACATACGAATAGGATTATTATACCAAATTGTCTATCAGTTTTTGGCTAGAAAAATCACGTGACGTGACGCATCCTAGTGTTCACATTTCCGGTTTCTCAGAAGTGGAAGCGTCACAGTTCGGTAAACTTCTATTTTTCTAGAGACTAGCTACATTAAATATATATATATATTTTTGTGTTCACATTTGCTCGAATAGCAAAAGAAAAACACCACAACAGTGTTTTCACAACTTTAAAAAACAGTAAAAATTAAAATAGAGAGAGATTGTTAATGGCAGATTGCTAAAGAAAGAAAGAGCCGCTGTATTAGAAACACCCTCAGCAGCGGTAACTCGGTTTTTTTGTAATATAATACAAATATAGTGTTATAGGCGTAATTATCTTTTATTATGACACTTTGCGCAACATGTACATTAAAAGCACATCTTCTGCACTAAACGATGATATTTCGATATTCTTACGTGTATAATATGCCACAGTTACTCTCGCACTTCAAAAGACTGTACATTTTTTTTGTATTTTCAAATGACAAATTACTTATATTTTAATTTAATACTTTTTTTCACAGCAGTATTTTGTATTTTATGTCATTTGATGAGAAAGTAGGCCTATTTGTAATTAAATACTTTTTGATGTATTTTGTGCCCATTTCTGCTCAAATGTAACATTCCCATAATGTTGAAGAATGATACAAATGGAATGTTTCCACAACGACGTGTTTAATTCATAGGCTATACTTTTTTTTTCATAAATAACATGTTCATTACTTAATTTTGTTAGCTGGGTGATTCAGCTGGAGTTTGATGCTTTGTAAGTGCAATAATAATGTAAACCGTTCAAACCGTTATGCGCGTCGGTTGTTGTTTCCTCCGGGTTCGCGTCTCGTTCTCCGGGAACGCAGAGCTCCGGTCCATCCGGAAACCGGCTGCAGTTGAACATCTCCGGCCACGGGAACCCGAATGCGCTCATGACGGGCAGACACGCGTCCCGCACCGCCTCGCAGAGACTCCGGCACGGGCGCACCGGGACCGGGACCTCCGGTAAACACACGGGCGCGAAGAGCGAGCAGAGGAAGCGTCGCGTGTCCCGGTGACAGTGTTTGCCGAGCAGAGGCAGCCAGGAGGCGGACTGTTGCTGAGCTTCCCTCGCGGTGTCGTGGCCCAGCAGGTTCGGGAGCCGCATCTCCCCGTAGCCGATCCCGGAGCACAAGCTCATCGTGTTCGGAACCGGTTTACACACCGAGCGCACTGCGCCGGAGTCACTCACCGGGTTCACTGTCAGACCTTCATCTTCATCATCTTCATCAGCTGTGGACGGACTGGAAACCAGCAGCACGATCACGAACAGAGAATGAACATTAAACATCGTGGAGACGCGCGTCCAAACTCATGTGTGTGTGTGTGTGTGTGTGTGTGTGTGTGTGTGTGTGGCGTCTCCACATCCTGTGAATCAAACACATCAGCTTCTTTATTAGAGGCAGTAAAACACTTCAGAGGCTCGTGTGAGGTTTTCTGGGAATCTACGTTAGTTTTACTTTAGGCAGTTAAAAACTTAAAACAACGTTAGAAAGTTAGAAAAAAACGTAATTGTAACCATATCTCACAATTCTGACTTTTTCTCACAATTGCAAGTTTATATCTCACAATACTGAGAATAAAATTTTGAATGAAAACTCGCAATTTATATAACCTCAATTTTTTTTAAATTGTGAGATATAAACTCAGAATTGCAAGGGGGAAAGTCACAAGTACGCCCAACACAGAAACCGTATGGGTTATTAAAATCTTGGTCCTGACCTTTTAATTTTTTCAAATATTAGAATGTGTCAGAATAGGTTTGGATCTGATTCAAACACAAAAAAGTCGACACAAATAAACTTTTAATAGACAAAAAAAAAAAACTCATTTAAAAAGTAGTCTTTTCCCTTTCAGAAAAAATAAACAATATTGATGACTCACCCTGCACTCAGGGGTGTATGCAAATGTCTGTCCAATCACGTGTTGTCGAGAACGAGATGCCCCGCCCACTGATTCCACCTGCCTCATTAGGGTCGTATCAAACTTATGCAAGCCAGTTAAACTAAACACCGTAACTGTGACTTTTCCCTCTTTGCAATTCTGAGTTATATCTCATAATAAAAAAAAAAAAGTTTTTGTGAGTTATAAAATTGCAAGTTTAAATTCAGATTTTTTAAATATTTATTTACAATTACCTTCTATTTTTTTTCGTGGGCAGAAAGCTTCCATGGAAAACGCTAGTTCTGCTGTGACAGTGATATCCTTCACCAGCTTCACTTCTGCTGTTCCTCAAGCGGCCACTAGATGGACTCAACACACAAGATGAACACATTTAAATCAGTGACATCTAAATAAAATGATTACGGTGGAAAACCTGGAGTAGCACATAAACAACGGCTGAGTGTGTGTCGAACACACTGCATAGTGTGTGTATTATAACTATATAAATAGCGAAAGTGTTTCTGTCTCTCCGCAGTGTTAAACAGCTGTTTATGTGCTGTATGCACCGTCACTATGAGCATATATATAGCCTATTTATATATATAAACACTAGTGAACTGTTCACATGTGCAATAACAGCATTCACACTGACTCAGGCCTGGCATCTGGAAACGCGCTGCACAAAATAACCAGAATACGAGTTATTTTCTTACACTCTTTGTTTTTAGTGTCCATCAGTTACTCTCACCTGACATTTGAGGAGCAGATCTATATTTAATCTATATTTAACACACAAACACAATCCAGCATCTAATGATGAGCTTCTTAAAGCCTGTCAGTCGCAGTCATAAACTCAACCTTTACACAGTCAAATCTCATCAAAAACTGCAATTATAAAGGATTTCTGTGTGTAAATATAGACAAACACTATTAAATGTGTTGTTTTATAGATGAGTGTGACATTGATATTCAAAGATAAAGACATTAGGTGTTTCTGGCAGAGATAATGAAATGGACACCTCAGTTATTTAGCCTGTTCTCTCCCTCCAGAAGCTTCTGTCGACTGAACACACAGACACACACACACACACACACACACACACACACCTGTGTGCTCGAGTCAAACAGCTCGCTGACAGGAGGAAGATCCTCACTGAGTTACAGGCATTCTGGAGCAAAGAAAACAAATCAATCTCATGTACAACCTGACAGAATGATTCTAGCACTCACACATTAACATATTCTAGAAAATGCTGGGTTATTTCAACCCAAATTTGGGTCAAATATGGACAAAACCCAACCGTTGGGTTAAAATTTTGATTTTGTCAATTTTTGACCCAAATTTGTCCCGGCATTTTATGAGTTCATGTTTCTGAAAGAGTCTCTTCTTCTCACCAAGGCTGTGTTTATTTGATTAAAACTGCAGTAAAAAATCTGAAATATTATTATAATATAAATCAGCTGTTTTCTATGTGAATATATAGTAAAGTTTATTCCTGTGATCAAAGCTGTATTTCCAGCATCATTACTCCAGTCTTCAGTGTCACATGATCCTTCAGAAATCACTCTAATATGAGGATCTGATGCTCAAGAAACAGTTATGATTATTATCAATGTTGAAAACAGTCGTGCTGCTTCAGATTTCTTATGTTATACACTACAATTAAACATTTTGGAATAATCAAGATTTATAAAAAGAAAATAAATGAATACTTTTATTCGTCAAGGATGCATTCAATTGATCAAAAGTGTCGTAAAGACGTTTATAATGTTACAAAAGTTTCTACTTCACTACAGAAAATCCTGAAAAATAAAACGTATTACAGTTTCCACACGGATATAAAGCAGCAGAACTGTTTTCAACATTGATAACTCAATATCTATATCTATAGACCCATAATAGTGTTATTATAGATCTCAGATCAGTGTTATTATAGTCAGCAGATCTCAGATCAGTGTTATTATAGTCAGATCTCAGATCAGTGTTATTATAGTCAGCAGATCTCAGATCAGTGTTATTATAGATCTCAGATCAGTGTTATTATAGTCAGCAGATCTCAGATCAGTGTTATTATAGTCAGATCTCAGATCAGTGTTATTATAGTCAGCAGATCTCAGATCAGTGTTATTATAGATCTCAGATCAGTGTTATTATAGTCAGCAGATCTCAGATCAGTGTTATTATAGATCTCAGATCAGTGTTATTATAGTCAGCAGATCTCAGATCAGTGTTTTTATAGTCAGCAGATCTCAGATCAGTGTTGTTATAGTCAGCAGATCTCAGATCAGTGTTGTTATAGTCAGCAGATCTCAGATCAGTGTTATTATAGTCAGCAGATCTCAGATCAGTGTTATTATAGTCAGCAGATCTCAGATCAGTGTTATTATAGATCTCAGATCAGTGTTATTATAGTCAGCAGATCTCAGATCAGTGTTATTATAGTCAGATCTCAGATCAGTGTTATTATAGTCAGCAGATCTCAGATCAGTGTTATTATAGATCTCAGATCAGTGTTATTATAGTCAGCAGATCTCAGATCAGTGTTATTATAGATCTCAGATCAGTGTTATTATAGTCAGCAGATCTCAGATCAGTGTTATTATAGATCTCAGATCAGTGTTATTATAGTCAGCAGATCTCAGATCAGTGTTATTATAGATCTCAGATCAGTGTTATTATAGTCAGCAGATCTCAGATCAGTGTTATTATAGTCAGCAGATCTCAGATCAGTGTTATTATAGATCTCAGATCAGTGTTATTATAGTCAGCAGATCTCAGATCAGTGTTATTATAGTCAGATCTCAGATCAGTGTTATTATAGCAGCAGATCTCAGATCAGTGTTATTATAGTCAGCAGATCTCAGATCAGTGTTATTATAGTCAGCAGATCTCAGATCAGTGTTATTATAGTCAGCAGATCTCAGATCAGTGTTATTATAGTCAGATCTCAGATCAGTGTTATTATAGTCAGCAGATCAGTGTTATTATAGTCAGCAGATCTCAGATCAGTGTTATTATAGTCAGATCTCAGATCAGTGTTATTATAGTCAGCAGAACTCAGATCAGTGTTATAATAGTCAGCAGATCTCAGATCAGTGTTATTATAGTCAGCAGATCTCAGATCAGTGTTTTTATAGATCTCAGATCAGTGTTATTATAGTCAGCAGATCTCAGATCAGTGTTATTATAGATCTCAGATCAGTGTTATTATAGTCAGCAGATCTCAGATCAGTGTTATTATAGATCTCAGATCAGTGTTATTATAGTCAGCAGATCTCAGATCAGTGTTATTATAGTCAGATCTCAGATCAGTGTTATTATAGTCAGCAGAACTCAGATCAGTGTTATTATAGTCAGATCTCAGATCAGTGTTATTATAGTCAGCAGATCTCAGATCAGTGTTATTATAGTCAGATCTCAGATCAGTGTTATTATAGTCAGCAGATCTCAGATCAGTGTTATTATAGATCTCAGATCAGTGTTATTATAGATCTCAGATCAGTGTTATTATAGTCAGCAGAACTCAGATCAGTGTTATTATAGTCAGCAGATCTCAGATCAGTGTTATTATAGTCAGCAGATCTCAGATCAGTGTTATTATAGTCAGCAGATCTCAGATCAGTGTTATTATAGTCAGATCTCAGATCAGTGTTATTATAGTCAGCAGATCTCAGATCAGTGTTATTATAGTCAGCAGATCTCAGATCAGTGTTATTATAGTCAGCAGATCTCAGATCAGTGTTATTATAGTCAGCAGATCTCAGATCAGTGTTATTATAGTCAGCAGATCTCAGATCAGTGTTATTATAGTCAGATCTCAGATCAGTGTTATTATAGTCAGCAGATCTCAGATCAGTGTTATTATAGTCAGCAGATCTCAGATCAGTGTTATTATAGTCAGCAGATCTCAGATCAGTGTTATTATAGATCTCAGATCAGTGTTATTTTAGTCAGCAGATCTCAGATCAGTGTTATTATAGATCTCAGATCAGTGTTATTATAGTCAGCAGATCTCAGATCAGTGTTATTATAGATCTCAGATCAGTGTTGTTATAGTCAGCAGATCTCAGATCAGTGTTATTATAGATCTCAGATCAGTGTTATTATAGCAGCAGATCTCAGATCAGTGTTATTATAGTCAGCAGATCTCAGATCAGTGTTATTATAGTCAGCAGATCTCAGATCAGTGTTATTATAGCAGCAGATCTCAGATCAGTGTTATTATAGATCTCAGATCAGTGTTATTATAGTCAGCAGATCTCAGATCAGTGTTATTATAGATCTCAGATCAGTGTTATTATAGTCAGCAGATCTCAGATCAGTGTTATTATAGTCAGATCTCAGATCAGTGTAATTATAGTCAGCAGATCTCAGATCAGTGTTATTATAGTCAGCAGAACTCAGATCAGTGTTATTATAGTCAGCAGATCTCAGATCAGTGTTATTATAGATCTCAGATCAGTGTTATTATAGTCAGCAGATCTCAGATCAGTGTTATTATAGTCAGCAGATCTCAGATCAGTGTTATTATAGCAGCAGATCTCA